GATTATGCCATACCCTCACAAAAAAAAACTAAGGAACCACCTTATCAGCATTCTCTACAACAAACAGAAAAAATCAAGAAGATCCCTACATTAGGAAATATCATAAAATTGCAAGCCTCCACACACATTTCACCCCTTCAAGACTTTACTACGATCCAACAAACCACCTACAAAGACCACTTCATCTCCCTTCAGAGGAAAAAGGACAATAAACTATCCAAACTGCTACATGCCTCAGGATCTCTCATACCGGATACTCTCAACTCACCCAACATCACCATCAACCTATCTGATCACTCTCTCAGCCCAGCAGAAGAATCTGTCCTATCCCATGGACTCTCCTTCTGCCCCACCACCCCCACAAATATCATGCAGTTCGGTGGGGATCTGGAATACTATTTTCGCCGCCGCCACCTGAAGGAATATTTCCAACACACCAATATACAACATACTGACCTCACTGTTCCCCCCTGGAAATCCCACAAGAAGAAGGCTTCTATGTGGACCCTCACCAATATATGTAATGAAAATCTAGACTTCTACATTGACTGCTTCCGCAAACGCATTCGAGCTGACATGATGTCAACATATAACATACAACCTCAGTCACACAGAACGCAATGCTATTCACATCCTCAAAACCAATCCTAACATCATAATCCAAGAAACTGACAAAGGAGGTGCTGTAGTCATCATGAACAGGACAGATTATGAACAGGAAGCGAACAGACAACTCACCAATACCAGATTCTACAGGCCTCTCTCCCATGACCCTACTAAGGAATACCAAAAAAACATGAAAAAACTGCTCATGAAATTCCCTGATGCTACTCAGGACCAAATCTACAATAACACCCCTCCTAATCCCCAACCAGTAACCTTCTATCTACTACCCAAAATACACAAACCTGGTAATCCCGGATGACCCATCGTCTCCAGCATTGGCACACTCACCGCAGGATTATCTGGCTATATCGACTCCCTCCTCAGACTCTATGCCCCCAACACTCCCAGCTACCTCCACGATACCACTGACTTCCTGAGGAAACTCCAAATATCAGTAATCTCTCTAAAAATACCATTCTGGCTACCATGGATGTAGAAGCCCTCTATACCAACATTCCACACAAAGACGGATTACAGGCCATCAGGAACACCATCCCCAATAACAACACTGCACACCTGATTACAGAGCTCTGTGATTTTGTCCTCACCCACAACTACTTCCAATTCAGAAACAATCTCCAAATCAGCGGCACAGCCATGGGCACACGCATGGCACCACAATATGCCAACATTTTTATGGCTGACCTTGAACGTTTCCTCAGCTCTCGCCCCCTAACACCTCTTCTTTACTTGCACTACATTGATGATATTGTCATCATATGGACACATGGTAAAGAGACTCTTGAATAATTCCACCAGGATTTCAACAACTTCCACCCCACTATCAGCCTCAGCCTGGACCAGTCCACAAGGTAAATCCACTTGCTGGACACTACAGTAAAATTAAATAATGGACAACTTTCAATCACCCTATATCGTAAACCCACAGACCACTACACTTACCTTCATACTTTCAGCTCCCATCCCAGACACATTTTTCAGTCGATTGTATACAGCCAAGCCCTACCATACAACCGGATTTGCTCAGACCCCACAGACAGAGACAGTCACCAACAGGATCTTTACAGAGCATTCATAAATCTGAGATACCCACCTGGGGAAGTGAAAAAACAAATTGACAGAACCAAAAAAGTACCCAGACATGAACTACTTCAAGACAGACCCAAAAGAGAAAATAACAGAACTCCTCTTGTTGTTACCTACAGTCCACAACTCAGACCCCTCTAACGCATTATATACAATCTACAACCCATCCTGGAAAATTATCCCTCACTCTCAGAGGCCTTGGGAGAAAAACTTATTCTTGCTTACAGACAACCCCCTAACCTGAAACGTATTCTTTCTGAGAACCATGCCACACAACCACATCATAAGCCTCCAGGAACCCGGCCCTGCAACCAGAAAAGATGCCAACTCTGCCCACATATCTACACTGATGAATTCATCACTGGAGCAAACAACACTAGCCACAAAATCAAAGGGTCATTAGACTGCTCATCTAGTAGTACACCTCTACTATATATATTGGTCAAACTAGACCAGTGGTCCCCAGCGTGGTGCCCACGGGTGCTATGGCGCCCGCCAGGCCATTTCTGTGTGCCCGCCGAGTGATGCAGGCCAGCCCCGCCCCCGGGCACGTGGTGCATGGCACGGGCGCCAGGGCGCCCACCAGGCCATTTCTGTGCGCCCGCCGAGTGATCGAGGCCAGCCCCGCCCCCGGGCACGTGGTGCATGGGCGTTGCCGGCCCCGGGCGCGCGGTGTATGGGCGTCCCCGCCCCTGGGCACGCAGCGCAGGAGCAGCACTGGCCCCGGGAGTTCAGCACATGGGTGGCACCGGCACTGGGCACGCAGCGTATGGGTGGCTCCGCCCCGGGCACGTGTGTGACCCTGCCCCCGTGTGCCTGGCGCGCGAGTGGCCCTGCCCCTGGGTGCCCGGCAGCCCCAAAATGTTGGGGACCACTGAACTAGACATTCTCTATGTGAAAGAATCATTGGACACAAATCAGATATATGTAAAGAAAATACTCAGAAGCCAGTGGCAGAACATTTCTGTTTACCTAACCATAATCTGACGGTGGCAGTCTTGTCACAGGCCAGTTCCTCAAGCCAAATCCACAGGGAAAGCTTGGAATTATAATACATATGCAAATTCAGTTCAATTAATTATGGACTTAATCAAGATATGGGATGGTGGAACCTTTATCAATGAAGGTGCTAACTACTTTCTGAATGGTATCCTTCCTGCCTTATCCATCCACTGACTTTGATCTTTAGCTACTCAGGTTTAACACCCTTTCTCCTGATACTTTATGCATAAAGGTAGAGGGGTGGGCAACAGAATATCTTTCTTCCCCTCCTCCCCTTCCCTTCTCCTATTTATTTCGAGTTTCCTTACCCTCTAATCATAACTCCAGTCATCTGAAGAAGTGGACTGTGCCCACGAAAGCTCATAATACCATCTACATGTTTTGTTAGTCTATAAAGTGCTACCAGACCATTTGCTTGCTGCTTTAGCTATGTTAGTCTCTTTCAGCAAAAACAACAAGGAACCTGGTGGCCCTTAAAAGAAAACACGAAATACAAGTAATGTAATTTAAATGAAAATCTGGGACTATAACTGGAATGCAAGGTCTTGGTTCCCAAGTTTTTTTAACTTAACTTTCACATGTTTAGGAAATGCTGAACAGTTATTGTGACCTTTTCTGTATGCTAGTTTACAAAAATTTCCAAAATGAGTGAAACTGGTATAATTATACAGGTTGAAACTCTTAACCGGGATTCATTTCTTAACCAAGAAAAAAATATATATGTTTGGCCATGTATCAAAACCAACATACATACAGCCTGTTCATACAGCCTAATTTAACAAATGCTTACATAAAACACATCTGACTGTTGGTTATTTTAACTTGGTTCATTATGGCATCAATGAGTGGTTTAGAACAGCAACAATACTTAAACAGTTTTTACAAGTTTTTGACAAGTGGCTTCAGGTTAATGCTTATTCTACACTTTTTTACTCCCCACTACATATTCTTCTGAATACATACGATAGCTACTTCTGGAAGACAGCATACCTTCCAAAAGCTTCTCAACACAACTTCCAAAACCACACAATGTTAAAAATCTGTTTTGGTGAGGTTTTCAAACTACTTTTTCATTTTCTGCCCCAATGTACAAAAAAGGCAAATTGCTGCCAGTAGCAGACAAAAGGAACTAAAATTGTTGTCGTTTCATGATAATAAAATATTCCAAGTCACGTATATTCCTAGAGGGACTAATCCATACCTATGTCAGCAAAGTCACTTGATTTACATTTTTTATATTATAATACCATCTCCAGCATGCTATAATTGACCAAAATTACAGCTTCTACTGTTGTAGATGGGACTGATAACTTCACCTAAAGTTAATGTTGCCCAACTCTTTCCTATGTAAGACCAGAGACCTTATTTCTTGCATTTTGGGTGCTTGACTTTGCAAATGTAATAAAGTACTTACAGTACATTTTTCTTGTGTGTAATATTCTTTCTGCATAATTATTATTCATCACTGACATGATAGCAGCATTAGTACATAACCAATAGAGAAAATGCATCATATAAAGCCTACATATTTTTTAAAATATATTTTTAAACATCTGGCAATGCAGGTGACAAATATATGAACTAGAAACCCAAAGTGGAAGAGGAAGAAAGAAAAAGGCACATGAAAAGTGGTATAGGCAAGAAATGAGATTAGATAATTAGCTCCTAAACTTTACTGGTTCACGTACCATCCTCTTTTTAAAAATATAAATTGAATCCAGCCAGAGGCAGCAAATACTGTGCACCCTCATGGTCCAGGGTGGAGATCCTGTCCCTCCTGGAGCTCTGGGGTGAGGAGGACACCCTGCAGGATCTCCTCTCCTGGAGGCGAAACACAGACATATATGGCTGGATGGCCAAGGCTCTGGCCGTGATAGGCCACCACCCCCAGACTTCAGACCAAGTCAGGAGCAAGGTCCAGGAGCTTTGCCAGGGCTACACCAGGGCGCGTAGCTCTCGCTCCGGGGCAGGACCCTACTCCTGCCCCTACTACCAGGAGCTCCACCAAATCCTGGGGGATGATGCAGCCCCTTCCCCACCCATGGCTCGAGACGTCCATCGTCTCGAGACGTCCATCCAGGCAGGTCAGGCTGCATCTGAACCATGCCTTCAAGCACCTGAAGGTACATTCAACCTGGACGTGGGCCCAGCTGAGGTGGACAGTGAATTGGTCCCTGCTGGGCTCCAAGTGGCCAGTATATGGCTTCATAAGCCATGACATGAGGGGGTAGGCCACATCCCCCAGGATGCACAGTGGTATCTGCACATCCCCAACCCAAAAGTCATGCTGGGGGAAGAAATGTGCCAGCCTCCAGCTTCTGGTAGAGGCTGGAGTTTCAGAAAATGCAGGCATTGTGTACCCCGGCCAACCACCTAATGAAAATGTCTGTGAACTGTCCACGGTGGTCAACCAGAGCTTGCAGCACCATCAAGAAATAGCCCTTGTACTTTATGTATTGGGTGGCTCAATGATGTGGTGTATGGATCGGAGTGTGGGCTCCGTCGATGGCGCCCCCGCATTTGGAGAAGCCCAAGGTGGCAAAGCCGGTGATTATTGGGTCCAGGTCTTCCAGGCGGATGACCCTGCACAGCAGGACAGAGTTGATGGCCCTCACAACCTGCAGAAGGAGACAAAGGAACACACAAAACAGAGAATAAGGGGGAGTGCCTGAGCCCTTGGGAGGTGCCTGCCCCCTCTCCTCCCTCAGGAGCCACCCCTATGAGGCCCCCCACACAGGGCTGTGTGAGGGCAGAACAGCGGAACCCCCCAAGGATAGGGCTTTCTCCCCACCTCCTCCCTTTCCCTAGGGTCCCCTTTCCAAGACTTCAACCCCACCCCCCGCAGGGACTGCAACCCGAGAGTGCCTTGCTTCCATGAGGAGGGCCCCAATGGTGGACTTCCCCCATGCAGAACTGGTTGCCCACAGACCGGTAGCTGACTGGGGTGGTGAGCTTCCAGGTGGCAATGGTAACCCGCTTCTCCAGGGCGGATGATGGGTTGTATCTGGGTGTCACGTTGATGGAGGGCAGGAGCGAGCCAGGCACATAGCTCCAAAAAGGCGCTCTGCACGCAGAAGTTTTGGAGCCACTGCTGTTCGTCCCACTGCTCCATGACCAGCCGGTCCCACCAGTCGGAACTGGTGTCCAGCCTCCAGAAGTGACTCTGTGCCGTGGGGTGCAGATGCAAGGGCATTGCTCCTGCATCCAGGCAGAGGGTGTCAATGGTGAGCTCGGTGTCCAGCTCATGCAAGACCATGAAGACAGTCTGCACAAAGTGCTGTAGAAGCTGCAGCATGTTACTGTGGGGGCAGCATATGAGGCAGCATACTGTTACTGTAGGGGCAGTATGCTGAGGCAACTCCGGCTCCATGGCTAGGAGTATGCTGTGGAGTCCTGAAACTTCAGCTATAAAGCCAGCTGACTCTCAGCTTAAACTGTAGAGCTCTGTTGTTTTTCATCTCTCACTGTAAATGCCACTATATGGGACAGTGACCCACACTGGGTGTGTAGGTTACACTTACATGATGCATGTGTAGATAAAGGATGTTGTTTTTATACTGCAGATCACATGCATCATTTTCTCTTGTTTCCTGTAATAATTTTGCTAGCAAGTTGTCCTCCTGAAACATAAATAAAACAGACTGCCTTAGGCTTACATTTTCAACAGAAAAATTGAGCAGCTATCTCCTAGGTGACCCATGGGACTGATTTGGACCTCTTAACAGTGTGATGGAGTTACTCCAATGTCAGACTCAATAGAATTACCTTGGTGTACCACTGATAAGTTCAGGAAGAGTATTCCGCCTAGCAAGTTGTCCTCCTGAAACATAAATAAAACAGACTGCCTTAGGCTTACATTTTCAACAGAAAAATTGAGCAGCTATCTCCTAGGTGACCCATGGGACTGATTTGGACCTCTTAACAGTGTGATGGAGTTACTCCAATGTCAGACTCAATAGAATTACCTTGGTGTACCACTGATAAGTTCAGGAAGAGTATTCCGCCCCC